GAAAGACTGGGAGGGGTTCCCAGAGGACCTTGGCAGGACCTTGGCAGCCCCAGGCGGTCAGGGAGATGGGCTGAGGATCACGCCCCAAATCTGTCATAGAGAGGAGCAGACAGGGACCCCAGATGCTGAGGTCTGGGCTAAGAGGAAGGGGGTAGAGGTCTGGCCCTGGACGTCGGGAAGAATGAGCCAGAGCAGGCTCTCAGGGAGGGGAGAGGGTTGGTGCCCGTTCCAGACGTGCTCCCCAGAAACGTGGGGCCAGAGTCTGAGCAGGCAAGGGGGCCGGGATCTGGCCTCAGAGGGTTAAGTGGGCCAGGTTCAAACTCCAGAGCTAAGTAAGGATGGGATCTGAGTGCTCTCCAACCATGAGGGGTGTGGCAGGAGCTGGTGTTGGGGTCCTAGAAAGGTGGGGGCCCCTTTTACTCTCCTGGATTCTTCCAGCCCACCCACCCTGGCCCCTTGCCGGCAGCACACGCCGCATGCGCCCACCTCAGGAGCTTACACTGGCTTCCCCTCTGCCTCGAGTAGTGCCCCCACCTCACACTTGCTCAGCACCCTCCCTTCCCCCAGGTCATCTTCAGATCAAGGTCATGTTATCTTCTCAATGAGGCCTTCCCTGACCATCCCATCAAAATTGCAACCCCCAGCCCTATCCCCCTTACCCTATTCTGTGCTTTCTTTTTACCACAGCACTTAGCACCTTCTAATTTGCTTTTTTTTGTTGTTTTCTGTCTGTTATCTATCTCCCTCCACTGGAACGTAAATTGCACAGGGGCAGGCAGGGGTCTTTGTTCTGTATATCAACAGATCCCAATTAACGTAATCCCAAACAATGTCTGGAATAGAGCAGACAACAAATACTTGAATGACTGAATGAGTCCTGGCTTGCAAAACCCCATAGGGGACTGGACAGCGGCTGGCTGTAATCCTGACCCCAGGAGCTACAGGGGACCAGGGTCGGGTTTCAGAGAGTTAGAACAGCAGGGACTAGGGCCTCAGAGCTGCACAGGGGACCATGCCTAGCTTGGGATCCCATCCCAGGAGCTGATCTGGGGCTAAGCTGCCCGTTCTACTCTTGCCCTGGGCTGCAGAAAAAGAGCCGAGAAGAGTCAAGTGGTGAGGGCAGTGGCGTGGAGATCCTGGCCAACCAGCCCTACACGGATGGGCCCGGTGGCAGTGGGCAGTACACACACAAGGTGTACCACGTGGGCTCCCACATCCCAGGCTGGTTCCGGGCACTGCTGCCCAAGGCCGCCCTGCAGGTGGAGGAGGAATCCTGGAATGCCTATCCCTACACCCGCACCCGGTGAGTGGGTGGGGCAGGTCTGGGGCCAGGAGGGGAACAGCCCTGGTGGGCACAGCCGTGACCCTCACCCCCACCCTCTGCCCAGGTACACCTGCCCCTTTGTGGAGAAATTCTCCATTGAAATAGAGACCTATTACCTGCCTGATGGGGGGCAGCAGCCGAATGTCTTCAACCTGAGTGGGGCTGAGCGGAGACAGTGCATCCTGGGTGAGGCCTGGAGCCAGCGGGGGGACCATGGAGCCCCTCTCAGGACACCTGCCACCTCAACAGGCGGCCTCTGACAAGTCCCAGGCTCTCTCCCGGTCTAGGCTTCCCGTGCATGGAAAGCTGCCTCCCCAGTCCCAAGGTGGGGGAGGAGTGGCAGGGGCCAGAGGGAGCTGCTGTTGCTCAGCGCTGCCGGAACCCCCCCAGATACCATCGACATCGTGCGGGATGCAGTGGCCCCAGGCGAGTACAGAGCAGAAGAAGACCCCCGGCTGTACCGCTCGGCCAAGACAGGCCGAGGACCACTGGCTGATGACTGGGCACGCACAGCAGCCCAGACGGGGCCCCTCATGTGCGCCTATAAACTGTGCAAAGTTGAGTTCCGCTACTGGGGCATGCAGGCCAAGATTGAGCAGTTCATCCACGATGTCGGTGAGCGCCCAGCCTCGGGAGGTTCTATTTACTCAGCATGCACCAGGCTGCGCGTTTGAGCCAGGGATGCTCCCAGTCTACTGGGGACACAGGAACATAAAGCCGTCATTTCCATTTGACATGGTGGGCACTGAGGCAGAGGGGAGCCGCACAGCCTAGCTAGGGGTTGGGGGAGCCTAGCCTTGAGGTATGGGTGAGAGTCAGGCAGGCAAGAAGCTGACAGCATGATCTCTGAGGTCCATGCCAGTTCTGACATTCAGAGATGCTGCTTCTCATCCATTAAAATTCTAAGACTCTCCAGTGTTCTGTGGGTCAAGCGAGACTTAGAGGCTCTCAGGAGGGTCACCAGCTCTAACCTGCAACACGCTAAGTAGTGCAGGCCAAAGCTGCGACTCTGTCGCTCTCTCCGAGTCCCATCCTTTGGCCCTGGTATCCAGGAGGCCCTGTTTCATGCCCCCCCGCTAAAACTAACCCCACAGCTCCTATGGCTCAGCCCTGCCCCACCTCCCAGGTCTGAGGGTGGACTACCTGCAGGTAGAAGGATGGGGGTGTCCAGGGACCTGGGTTCCGTTCCACCATGGACCCTCACGGAACCTCTCCTCCAGGAAGCTACTTTCCATCTTTGCGCCTTAATTTTCCCCTCTGTAAATGAGGAAGAGGTTGAGCCAGATAGTAAAAAGCTAGTATTGATCACCACATGCCCAATTCTCTGCTAATCACCTCCCATGCAAGATCTCCTTTAACATCCCCAACACCCCTCAAGGTAAGGACAATTATTATTCCCATTTTACAGATGAGGAAATTTAGCTCAGAGAGTAATACAGGCACCTTAACTTAAATTTGGAAAAATGCCAAAAAACACAAATTAAAAAAAAAACTCAGCCACATATAACCACTATTAAGATTCTGATGTACGTCCTTCCAGAAGTTTATAACAATAATTCAATCATTATGACTTTATTTCCTAGATATTGAAGTCTCTAACTTTATTCCTCTGCTTAGGATGAAAATATCCCAGAATGGCTAACATGTTTTGCTTCATTAAGTGCCAACACTTCCATTAACTCTTAACACCTTCATTAACCATCAACAATTTCATTAACTATCAACGCCTTAATTGTTAACTCTTCTGAAGAAATCAGCAGGAAGCCAGCTGAAAGAAGCAAGAACAAACATTGCTCCCAGCTTCCCAGGGTGTCGGGGTGGGCTCAGCGCTCAGAGTTGGGGTGTCCAGAGGGATAAAAGAGGCAGTGGGCAGGGAGGGAGGTGGGGCAGGAAGACAAATGCCCCAGTTTCCACTCCCGTCTCCCGGACAGTGCTCACCCTGCCCTACTTTGTGTCCCTGGGTGGGTGGTGTGCCCAGGGGAGCCATTACCTGAACTCATGGGCTGGGCATGTGGCTGCAGTGGCAGGGAAACTCGGGGCTGGGGTGTGTGGGTGGGGAGGGCATGGCGTTGATGCCTGGGTGCCTACAGGTCTGCGTCGGGTGATGCTGCGGGCCCACCGCCAGGCCTGGTGCTGGCAGGACGAGTGGACAGAGCTGAGCATGGCTGACATCCGGGCACTGGAGGAAGAGACCGCCCGCATGCTGGCACAGCGCATGGCCAAGTGCAACACAGGCAGTGAGGGGCCTGAGGCCCAGCCCCCCGGGAAGCCAAGCACTGAGGCCCGGGCTGGGGCCAGCCGTGCTGGCACCCCCGATGGGCCCGAGGTGCCCCCGGGCCCTGATGCCTCGCCCGATGCCAGCTTTGGCAAGCAGTGGTCCTCGTCCTCCCGTTCCTCCTACTCGTCCCAACATGGCGGTGAGGCTGAGGCACAGGGGTGGGAGGGAGCGGCCCTCAGGCTGGACTCCCAGGCTGAGGCCAGTGTGGCCCTGCAGGGGGCGTGTCTCCCCAGACTTTGTCTGAGTGAGCAGGAAGCAGCTGAAAGAAGCAAGAACAAACATTGCTCCCAGCTTCCCAGGGTGTCGGGGTGGGCTCAGCGCTCAGAGTTGGGGTGTCCAGAGGGATAAAAGAGGCAGTGGGCAGGGAGGGAGGTGGGGCAGGAAGACAAATGCCCCAGTTTCCACTCCCGTCTCCCGGACAGTGCTCACCCTGCCCTACTTTGTGTCCCTGGGTGGGTGGTGTGCCCAGGGGAGCCATTACCTGAACTCATGGGCTGGGCATGTGGCTGCAGTGGCAGGGAAACTCGGGGCTGGGGTGTGTGGGTGGGGAGGGCATGGCGTTGATGCCTGGGTGCCTACAGGTCTGCGTCGGGTGATGCTGCGGGCCCACCGCCAGGCCTGGTGCTGGCAGGACGAGTGGACAGAGCTGAGCATGGCTGACATCCGGGCACTGGAGGAAGAGACCGCCCGCATGCTGGCACAGCGCATGGCCAAGTGCAACACAGGCAGTGAGGGGCCTGAGGCCCAGCCCCCCGGGAAGCCAAGCACTGAGGCCCGGGCTGGGGCCAGCCGTGCTGGCACCCCCGATGGGCCCGAGGTGCCCCCGGGCCCTGATGCCTCGCCCGATGCCAGCTTTGGCAAGCAGTGGTCCTCGTCCTCCCGTTCCTCCTACTCGTCCCAACATGGCGGTGAGGCTGAGGCACAGGGGTGGGAGGGAGCGGCCCTCAGGCTGGACTCCCAGGCTGAGGCCAGTGTGGCCCTGCAGGGGGCGTGTCTCCCCAGACTTTGTCTGAGTGGCGCATGCAGAACATCGCCCGAGACTCTGAGAACAGCTCTGAGGAGGAGTTCTTTGATGCCCACGGTCAGCACCCCAGACCTGTTAGGGAAGGGGGGCGGTCCCTGAGCAGCTCCCGCCAGCCCATGACGCAGCCCCTGCTCCCTTCAGAAGGTTTCTCGGACAGTGACGAGGTTTTCCCCAAGGAGATGACCAAGTGGAACTCCAATGACTTCATCGACGCCTTTGCCTGCCCCATGGAGGTAGAAGGGGCGCCAGGTAAACATCCCGCATCCAGTTGCCAGCCACCGGCACTCCGTATGCGGTGAGGGCTTTGGAGAACAACTCATTCCTAAGTTTAATGGGGTCCTAAGATGAATGTCAGTCCAGAAAGGGTGCTCATTAAATACACAGACGAATAATGAGCAGATAATGGGTGGATGGATGGATGTGTGGCATGTATTCAGGGTTCAGACACAGCACAGAGAATGGAGGAATTCATTTGGAGTCCAGGAAGGCTTCACGTGGGAGGTGATGTCTAAGCTGGATTTTGAAGGATTGGACAAGCTCTGTCCAAAAGACCTTTCTGAGATGATGGAAACGTTCCAGCCACTAGCCACATGTGGCTAGCAAGTACTTGAAATGTGGCGAGTGGGACTGAGGAACTGAAATTGGTATTGTTATTTTAATTCATTTCAGTTTAAGTAGGCACATGTGACTAGTGGCTACCATACTGGACAGGGCAGGATTAGAAGGAATTTTCCAGGCAAACAGGGTTTGTGCGGAGAAGCATGCCTGTCAGCAGCAGGACTGGCCATGTGCAAAGACGCAGAAATGTGAAATGACCTGGGAGAGTCGGGTGAGAGAAGGTCAGAGGAAGATGGGGGGCGAGGGCGGGTGCTCAGGCAGACAGCAGAGCAGGGGTACCTGAAGTACCAGATGAGGGGATCCCCAGAGACCCCTCAGTCCCCTTCACTGGCTTTCCCCATCCTGCAGACCCTGGAACCGAGTCCACCAAAGATATCGGGGACAGGGCCCAGGCACCCAGGGACCCAGAAGTGAGTATGGTCGGCCACCCCGCATCTCATTCTGCCCACCCACCGGCCAGGCCACTGCTCTGACATCCCTGGCACCCCCCCTGTGCCCCGCAGGGCCCGGATGGAGCGGGGGAACTGGGGGCGGAGACATGCGCAGTCCACGCCCTCTTCCTCATCCTGCACAGCGGCAACATCCTAGACTCAGGCCCTGGAGACACCAGCTCCAAGCAGGCGGATGTGCAGACGCTGAGCCTGGCCTTCGAGGCCATCACCCGCGTCCACTTCCCCGAGGCCCTGGGCCACGTGGCGCTGCGCCTGGTGCCCTGCCCACCCATCTGCGCCGCTGCCTATGCCCTTGTCTCCAAGTACTGGTCAGGGATGGGGGGGGTGGGGGACACACAGGGTCCCCAAGGTGTAGACAGCTACTTGGGGACTCCTGAGACCAGAGAGGCCCCATGGGGGGATGGGGAGGAGGCCTGGAAGCCAAACACCTGGGCTAGTCACCTACCCAGCTGGATTTCAGTTTCTAGTCAATAGCTCCATCACAAAGGCCTCTGGGATACTGACGGTCCCCACAAAGGCCCTCCAGTGCTAGGACTTGCCAACAGGTCAAGGGGACTTACAGGGGGCAGTGGAGGGCCTGGAGGCCCCCCACCCATCCATTATACCCCCTCCTCCTACAGCTTGAGCCCCTACAGCCATGACGGTGACAGCCTGTCCCGCTCCCAGGACCACATTCCACTGGCCGCCCTGCCGCTGCTGGCCACCTCATCCTCCCAATACCAGGGCGCTGTGGCCACGGTCATTTCCCGCACTAACCAGGCCTATGCCGCCTTCCTGCGCTCGTCTGAGGGTGTCGGCTTCTGTGGGCAGGTCAGGAGTTAGGGATGTTCCCGGGGAACTTGCCGCGGGAGCCCCCCCATCCTCCTGCCTCTGCTGCAGCCCCTCCTGATGGTGCTGCCCTCCCACCCAGGTGGTGCTGATTGGGGATGGCGTCGGTGGAATCCTGGGCTTTGACGCACTCTGTCACAGTGCCAGCGCAGGCACTGGGAGCCGCAGCAGCAGCCGCCGAGGAAGCACGGTCAGTGTGGCTGGACCCGCCTCCTCAGGAGGCAGGTGTCTCCCCGGCTCTAGTTCTCTGCCCCTAGAATATGACCCCTCTCCGGCCTGTCCCCTGCTGTCTCATTCCACCTCCTCTGGGGCTCTACTCTTTGTTTAAGTCCCTGCCCAACCCCCAAGCCTCTTTCCTCACTTCCAAATAAGTAGAAATCAACTGTCTCCAGTCCTAAGGCTGTTTCTGTCCCCTATTCCGTCTAGAACAATGAGCTGCTCTCCCCGGAGGTTGGCCCAGTGCGGGATCCCCTGGCAGATGGGGTGGAGGGACTGGGCCGGGCCAGCCCAGAGCCCTCAGTGCTACCTGCCCAGCACACCCACAGCGACATGGCCAGTCCTGAGCCCGAGGGCTCTCAAAACAGGTGACATTCCTGCCCCATCAACTCCAAACTGGGCTTGTGCTGGGCTGCGGAAGCAGCAGCACTGAGCCCCCTCCCCCCCTCCCCCAGCCTGCAGACGGTCCCCCCAGCCACCTCCTCTGGGGAGCCCAGGTGGGCAAGCACAGCCTCCTGTCCACCCGCTGCCGCCTCTGAGGTTCCTGATGGTCTCACCAGTGCCACCCGCCTTGACTTCAAGGTCTCCGGCTTCTTCCTCTTTGGCTCCCCTCTGGGCCTGGTGCTGGCTCTGCGGAAAACCGTGATGCCCACGTTGGAGGGTGAGCTCTCAGGGTGGGGTGGGCTTCACCCGCCCCTCCCCCATCTCCTCTTTGTTTCACCTGAAATGGGGGTATTTATACCATTCCCCACTGTACAAATAAATGGCTTGGCTAGAGAGGGAAAACCTGAGACCTAGAAAGAAGGGACTTGCCAAGGCCAAGTGTCCCAAAGTGCACCAGGAGGAACTCATACCCACAGATGCTCTTCATGAGGGGGTCCAACAGGCGTGGGGAACGCTTCATCCTGAACATCAGCAAATCGAAGGTTTTGACCTCTTTTTAGCCGAGAGACCTGTCTCACTTTTAAGCACTCCCAGGGACCTCGCAGGGAGTAGAGTCTGGGAAGTGCTGGTTCCGGGTCACACAGCATGTCAGGGTGCTGCTTCCCACAACCCCTGCCTCCCAGTATGCCCAGATGAGTCCCCTCCCCGCTTTATCTTCTGGGTACCAGTGGCCCAGATGCGGCCAGCCTGTGAGCAGATCTACAACCTCTTCCACGCGGCCGACCCCTGCGCCTCCCGCCTTGAGCCCCTGCTGGCCCCCAAGTTCCAGGCCATCGCCCCACTGGCTGTGCCGCGCTACCAGAAGTTCCCCCTGGGAGACGGCTCATCCCTGCTGCTGGGTATGCCGCCAACCAAAATAAAGGGGAGAAAGAGGACGGCACCAACAGTGAGGGATGGGTGTGGGCCCCCCTCTCCCAAGAAGACATGAGGCAGTTCCCACATCATTGGTTCTCTCTCATGTCACCACTCCCAGGACCGGGGAGCCCTCCCCTGGCCCCTTGGGCAGTCTGGATCCCCAAGACCCTCTAACATTCTCTGCCCAGAAGTTGGGGGCAGTGGTGACAACTGGGCTGAAGGGAGGAGGTGGTGACACTGAGAGCAGCCGCCCACCACCAGCAGGGAGAGGGGCTGCTGTGTCTGTGTGTAGGGATGCATCGTGTCTCTGCATGCACTTGTGTTCGTGTATTGGTTTGGGGTGGGTACTCGTGTGCATGCAAGTGAGTAGCCATTTGGCCCCATGAGACAAGTGGGCCCGGGTCCAGGTGGTGGCAACAGTCATGATGGCAGGAATG